AGAGACTGTTTGGAAGACACCTTTTATGTGGGGAATGGCCCTCCAGACTTCGGGTTGCTGTTTTGCTGCCCGTCATCTGTTCACTCGATGCTTGCTTTGGCTGATAAAAGGATTCGGATATCCATTAGCTCTAGAGAGGTCACGTAGGTATTGTTGTTCCACCCTTTTGTCAGCTTGTGTACTGCAGTGTCTTACACCATTACGTAAGTAAAGGACAGGACACGGTCAAACCGAAGTCAGGATTTGCAAACGAAGACGGCCCTGTGACGAAACCACCGGAAGAGGAGGCAGGATTACCAGCATCCTCTACCGTGGGGACGAAACAGAACACCAACTGCCGTCACGCCAAGCTAAAATCCACACGCAGGGCCAAACAGCGAACGGAGAAAAATCGGTCAGCCCAAGGCCAACACGTGCAGCCGCAACTTTAAACTTGCTGATCGATAAATTCAGTAGTCAGCTGTCCGAAACGTCAGTAAAACTACAAATTTATTCCGGTGAACAGACGATAAACTCTAATTCTTATCCCGGAATTCTGAATTTTTCAAATTTTAATTCGGAGGATAGATTTAAAAATCAGCAAGACTTCTTAAACATAGTTAAAAAATTACCCGAGAACCGTAGGAAATAAAGGGGAGGATGCAGGCATCTATAAATCGCAAGATTAGGACTTGAGGCCTGTGACAGAAACGTAAACGACGAGTATAATAAAGGAGTTTACTAATGTTAGTGGGAAGGATTTCAGTATGAGTTTAGATTTTTAGAGTTTAGATTTTAAGAGTTACGCCAAAGTACGGTAAAAAAAAATATAGCTTGTTAGGAAGAATGCCCAAGAATTCATGACTAGGAGAGGATTGCAATCGAAAAACGCACAGGGTTCATTTCTGACAGTGACTTGCTATGCAAACTCAAATTATTTTCTACTAATTCATCCTTTTTTATGGATGACCACATGAACTCAGCTAGCGTCATTAAAAATGCGTGCCAGCAAGTGCTGACGACAAAATCTGGGCTTACAGGATAACTTTTATTGATTGCATTCTCCTGAAATCAATATAACGAAAGTTTTTTATTCTACCATCTCGTTCGATGGAACGCAGTTACGCTTTTTGTGAATTTTTTGATTAGTGTTGGAAGAGATTATCCTTTCCATTTTTTTATTTGCTGACAGGCAAAATGCCTAACTTTAGTTATAGTACGTGGACTGTTAGCGAAAAGTACCTGTTCCACACAAGAAAGAATTCCCACAAACGCGCACCTGTGTGAAAACAAATATTTTGCATTTAAATTTTGACGGCTCTATTTCCTGCTTCTCAAGTCATTTCCTCTTGCTTAATCCGCTGCTCTGTAAACACCTGATTTGGTTGATACGAGGCTAGATGGGTGAAATCCTTCAACTTTTAATACGTCCAGGCATCATTTTTAAGGCCCAATCCCATGGTCCTGAGTAACTTTTCTTTGTTTTCTTTTTTAAGCGTTTGAGTAAATCAGTATCCGTATCAGTTTATTGAGGGAAAGGTAGGCGAACGCCTTTGAACTCTCTGTTGGTAACAAGATGATAGGGAATAAATGGATACAAAGAAAAATTTAAAATTTACGTCAATTACATGTTCCGGGAAGACACGAGAGTCAAATCTTAACAAAATATAACAGTAGAAATATGGCTACTCGAATACCACGAGTAGTATAATTTGATGCAGTGTATGTGATAAATATAGTGTAATTACGTATAATGTGATGCAGTAGTTTTTACATGGTTTGTATTTGTGCTTGATGCATATCCAGTCTACTCTTAAATGAATTAACACAAGTGGAGA